CCCCCCCTACAACCCCTGCCGGTACGAGACTCGAACCCGCAACCTTTGGGTTACGAGTCCGACTCTCTAACCATTAGGCCACGACTTCCCCACATAGAGACTAGGCCTTTAAAATCTAATTTTTGAAGGCAGAATAGCACCCTCCTGGTGAGAGCAAAAAAAGAAAAACCGGTAATTTCATGGTGTAACCACTAGATTCCTTGTATAGGACTCTATAGAGAGGCTTGTGAATTCCCTAGTTGTTTTTATACATAATTGTTTACTTTTATTAGGTTGCGGATTTAAATGTATATTAAGGCATTCTCAAAGACTACTTTTTGTCAAGGTTTATATTTTTTGTTGTTTTAAATGTTGATTTGAAGTGTAGGTTTTTGCATGGAAAAGTAAAAGGACTCAAGTTACTAACCCAGCTAAGTTCTATTCCCAACTTCTCTGAACTGTTGATGCTTACCTTCCTTCGCCATCTCGATCCTCTGCTCACCTTCAAATAAAGCCCGTTGTTATTTACTACTTACCTGAGTGTTCCCCGTGTGTTGTTGACACAATGTAGCTAGTAGGACACTTTTTAAACTTGGAATTTACTTATTTGTTTATTCTTCTGGGCTCACAGCAATTCTAGTACTTTCATGATACACTCACAGGCTACACGCAGCAGTATCCATAGAAATTCAGATTCCGTTATTAGCTAATTATTAATAGCAGTATGCATAGCAAATCAAATAACGTTTTAGTGCACTGTAAAACCTGATAAGTTAAGAATACTCAAAACATTTGTGGAAACTTATTGCCTCAAAATATTTGAGTAAACGAACTCAATTTTTTTAAGCTAGTAGAGCTTACAATTTTTATGACAAGTGGGGCGGGGCTGAGAGCCATGGGAGCCAAGCCAAGCCTCCCTTCCATGATCCCACCCCACTCATCACAACGATAATTATATATAACTTGCTTCCATTAACAGCACATTCATTCAGATTTTTATAGTTAAGTGCTAGCTAGTAACAGCACACTAGCACATACTAATGTAGATATCTAAAAGACTCACAATACTTGCATGTATATAGTCAAACAACATGCAGTATAAAAAGTTTTTAATTTTTGCTGTCCATCCTCAACCTAACCACAGGCTCTACTCTTCACCACAACGGTAACACTACAAAACTAACATAGAAACCTATGTAAATCCTAACATAACACAACATTTAAGTACTAACTTATGTCTCTCTATGTTAATCTTGTGTAAAAACACACAAAATAACACTTAATTTCTACATTTATTTTCCTTGTTGTCTGATGCAAAGCATGCTGGGAACTAGAAAACGCAATCATTTTAAGTTCACCTTACTACAACAACATTTTAAATTGACAGAACTTATTTCAATTAAGTCCAATTAACTTTCATTATTATTTGAGTGAAGTTAACTCATTTCATTTAATTAATTTCACTGTTCGGTTTTACAGTGTGTTTTAAATGTTGATTTGAAGTGTAGGTTTTTGCATTATTACTACTACATTCAAACCTGAACACAGAAAGCAGTTTGCTACACAAAACATTAAAATTCTATAAAAATGTAACAAAAAAATAACAGGAATGCTTTATCAGAGCTTAATCCTTCTGGGTCTGATCTGATTTTAACCTCTTATTTCAGTCTTCTGACTCATTTTGGCTATATGGTTATAGCCATACCAATTCATTTGACTATATATAATTCTGTATGTGTGTGTCTGTGAGTGTAAGTAAGTGTGTGTGAGTGGATGTATCCGTTTTACACTCTTGATGTTTTAGAGTGTAACCCCTTCCTTGCGGTCCACTTTTTTACTGCATTGTAGTTGAATTATTGATTTTATTTTACATAGTTGCAGTGTTACAGTCACACCAGTTCATAAGTGTGTGTACAAGTGTGTCCGCGTGTGTGTGAGTTGGTGTGTTGATTTTGCACTCTAGATGTTTTAGAGTTTCATCTCTTCATTGCTGTGCAATTTTTTTCTGCATTGTGGGGGATTTGTAGATTGTACACATAAACATTTTCTGTATTTTTTTTCCCCATTTCCCATTCATTTCCTATGGTCGGTCATTTTTGACCGAAGAACATGAGTGTGACTATTTTTTTTACGACCACTTAGCTTTTTCGAATCATGCCCTCATTTTTTTTGTGTGTTCACATACCAAGTGCCATAAAAGTCACCAAGTTTCTTACCATTCTGGTGAAGCTACGATTTTTTAAAATTCAAAATGTTAAATTCTCCGGTCAGAAATGACCGAAGACCGCACAAGGGTTAAACAACAAGTCTGAAAGGGAGGCGGATACTCTGTAACCTCCAAAAAAGACACATCCTTGAGGCAAACAAGTAATCATTCCACACCCTCAGTGTCCCTTCATCGCATAATGGCCTTAAAGTGGTGAACGGGAGCGAGGGATTTACATGCTTGTTTACAGGCTGAAATAACACAAAAGATGTGCACCACTTGAGACACAAAGATGGTAAAATAATTTTTTCTCCTTATTGACGTCTAAGCCACGTTTGCTCCAAAAATGTTCACAGTGTCCTTTTCATTTCAGATCAAAGCTAACATCAGGAATCTGTTTATAAGAGCTGGAAGAGAGCAAGGCACGCAATAAAAAGCTAAACTGACACCAAAAATGTCATTTACTTTGTCATGTACCAAGTAAACACAGGAGGATCTTGTTTTTGGCAGTTGTTTTTTTTAGCACTGGAGCTAACACAGTCTAAAGCAACCATGTCAACAGTGCTGAGCAAACAAAACAAAAAAAAATTAAAACCACAATGGAAAAAAAGGACGTGGGAATGTTCTTTGTGAAAACCGCTTACAGTGTCATCACTCAGTTTGACGTTCTGAGGGCCAAAGTAAATTCACACACATTTCTACAGGACAATCAAAGAATGTTTATGGAGCTTTCTCTCTAAAACGGAAGCTCACATGTTAGATCAAACAAGCTAAATACTTGGGTGAACTACTAAAATCAGGTTGAATTAACTTTTTAATATATAATTTTATGTAATTTTCAAATCATCCAAAATCAATTTGGGAATTTCCTATATAATTAGAGATGTAATGATTCACTTATCTCATGATGCAATGTGATTTACGATACTGATTTCACAATACGATTTTCTCACAATTTTTTTTTAAAGAAATTAGATATAAGACTAATTATAAATGAAAAGGTGCTCTTTAATTATTTCTCAGACAAAATTATGCACATTTCTTTGTTAAATTGAAATATGATTGAAATATGTCAAATGACAAAACTAAATTGAAATTAAAACAAATCCCAAATCATGCTTATGGAAGAGCAGCAATATAGGGTTTCTTTGATTACCGCGGTAAACAAGCAGAGCTGCGCTTAAACACTACACATTATACAGAGACAAGATGAAAAGAAAATACAGTCTAAACTTTTCCGAAGACAGTCAGTTCCCCTCAGAGATACATTCATACTGTACACACCCCCACCCCCATTTGTCACATGTTTTTATTGATTTTCAACCGGCTCGGGGTGCATTGTTATATCCCTGGTTTTCATATCATTTTATCATGTTGCCATGAAGTTTCTAGAGTATTCTGGGTGGTTGCTTACCGGAAAACAGCAAATTCTAAGTATGAACAATTGTAATAGTGACAAACACCATTAAATACAAATAAATGTCAGTAATTAATAATAACTGTTCAATCAATGCTTAAGCTTTTCTTAAATTAATTCCTGTTTATTTCTCTCTCACTGTCAGCAAGACGAGAAGATAAGGACTTATTCCTTTGACTCCCTCTCTTTCTCTCTCTGTATGTCTCTTATGTCCTCAGGCCCTGCTTGTTTTCTACAAGTGTGAAACTACACAGGAAACTGAGACTGACAAACATTGTGCAGATGGTCCAACTAAAGACCATCTAGCCATAGGCCAATGTTTCTCAAACCAGTGTCCATATAAAATAGCCAGAGGGTCTGAGTAAAAGTCCTGAATTTTGAACAAAAATCTCAACGAAAACTATGGCAAGTCAGTTTGCCATGAGATATATTATTCCAGCAAAGCTAACAGTGAGAAAACTCTGCACACTCGCACTTAGTTCTTTCTTTCAGTCATCTGTGTGAGAGTGTTTGGAAAAACACTGATAGACGAACACCTGAAGTTATGTCATTATGAAAGCAGCCAGTTAGACAGAAATAAACTGTCTAGCAGATGGCTGAGCCTGTCAAGAAAGCGTGTGGAAGTGAAAGTGAAGACTGAACTGAGAAATGCACAGCTGGCTTGAGGATTTCCTCACAAGAGACCTTAACTCTTCCTTCAGAAGGATTTTACAGTTGTTTAAATAAATTGAATTAATATTATTTTAATAAAATTTTATTATTATCATTATTAATTCATAAAACCTGCTCAAATTTGAAACATTATTTTGTTGTCTTTCCTTAAAGTCCGCGTGAACCGGAAGTTGCGACCGACTTTACTTCAGTATTGTGACGTACTTCCGAGAGAAACGGAATACTGAATGAGAAAAACAGAGGGCGTGGCTTGTTTTTTTCTACTGTGAACTGACTGGATGTAGTAAAGTAGGCGTTTCATTCAGAACAACACTGACAGTTGGAGGGGTGTGTTTAAGGATGTTATGCTCAAGCCCAAGCCGTCAACCTGACGTCATCAGAGAAGGTCCGTCATTTCAGAGGAGAGGTGCATTTTCAGATTTGGATTAAAGATTATGAAGGCAAACTATTTTTTTTGTGTATTGACTTGCATGGATTAATTGTTCACCACAAAAATAGCAGCGTGCGCTAACAAAATAAATATAGTCAATTTTGATTTCATGTGTACTTTAAAAAGAAATGGGGAAAAAATCATGTGATTAACCATGATGATACATAATCTCTATTCATATTTTATAGATTTAATCCCATATTATATTAGATATTTAATTTAATTAAAAATGACATTACACCAGATTTTGAAATATCATACATATATTGTTAATTTTATTAAAGGTCCTTTCCAAAAAAAAAAAAAAACAGACCTAGTTGGGAATCACTAGTGTAGCGCACAGTGTTTCCCAGTGAATGTTTAAAACTTACCTGATGGGCCAGGATGTAGATGTTGTGCCCAACATCTTTAGGTCTGATCTGATCTGATGTCTCGTGATCAATCTCACTCTCATCTCCTTGAACGTAAGCCTCCTTGATCACGTCAACCTATAGATATGACACCAGAACATCACTTTACTTTAATTATGGCAAAGAACAGGGTATGTTACGACTGATAACAGATGATCTAAACTATATTCATTAGCTACACAACAGTTAGTTGAGGAACAGTGCTAATATACCACCTAATAGCACAACTACTGATTAGCTCACCAGTTCATTGGGTCTCATCTTGTACAGGATCTTATCTGCATTCTCGCTGTCATGACGACTCTCCATGATGGCCAGAAGAAGTTTAGATGCATTGTTCTAATTTTTCATTGTAAAGAAAAGAGCTTTTATTTGTTTTTTAAATAAAATTACTGTGAAGTAAAGAATATTCACATATTTTCCTCATGGAGATAAATGTGCAGATGCTTTTACATGCCAAATCAAAAATCTGAAACACTTCAGAACATTTTGTTATCTGTAAAATTATATTATACATCAATTGCTTTCTTATTCAAACTACGCGAATGACTGCAGCAAACAAGTACCTTCAGCTCGAGCACAAGGTCAAGTCGGTTCTTCCCCAGCGGATCAATTGGGTTCACAATGAGAGCGATGATAATGTCAATGCCGTTTGACTCATGCCTGGCTATGCATGTCTGTGGAGGAGGAAATACAAAAAAGACAGATTTTTGCATAATCATTAATAAAGCTAGAAATTAGTTCAGACATCATAATCTATGATCCCAAACTAAGTTTCAGATATGTAGAAAATACTTATTTTTTGCATAATCATTAATAAAGCTAGAAATTAGTTCAGATATCATACCAAATCTAAATATATATATATATATTCCAGTTAGTTGCCAAGGCAACATTTCTTATCATATGACTCATGTCACAGTTAAGGTTAGTTCTTGATTAGTACATGCCTTAACTCATCATTACCTCATATTAAAGTAATACATAATTCAGGTATTAGTACATGATTATTCATGTACTGTTACTGTAAAGTGTTACCCTTGGATTCATTTTTCCATGTGGAAAAAGATTTGTTCCCATTTTCCAGAGAGGATAACATTTCAATACCTGGTTTTCGTGGCAAGGACCCTGGCAGTACTCTGTGATGGTCTCTAGTGTCTGTTTGACCAGGTCCACATTCCTCTCATTAATGTAGAGCCCCAGCAGTCCCAGCCCTCCCGTTGTACTGCCACAGATACAGTCGAGAAACTGCAGCGTCTCGCACACCAGGTTATAATTGGTTTTGTTGTTCTGATCTCGCAGAAAGTTCTGTATACAAGAGAACAGAAAGATTTGGACTAACAACACAAGTCCTGAGTGGCAGTAATTGGTATCTCTATTCAGACAGACTCGTCCATACTAGGTTGGGGGTCCCTTGAGATTTTGATTGACTTGAGATTTTTACTTTTCAAACATCAAGGTGCTTTTTCTTCTCACTATGGAAAAACACTTATTTAAAGCCCTCTGGTTTTCTGACACTGTGAAGGCAGCGTCACTGGATTTCACTTCTAAGCACACTACGTACCATTTCAAATTGCAGTGTTTAATACAAGTAATACGCTAAAATGATTCCTAGCCAAAACAAACCACAGCTGAACAAAACTGGACCAGTAAAAATTATTTGCATCACCTGCAAGTCCCTGTTATGATTCTCACAGAGCAGCTGAAGGAAGCGTAGGATGGGTTTCATGATGGTGATGGCCTGACTCATCTGGGTCTCCTCCACCACCTCCTCCATCCCGTCCCCTCCCGATCCCATCGACTCCATCTCGGGGTACACTTCCAGGCGAAAGGTGCTGTAGGCTTTGGAGGTGACAGAGGAGGCATCTTTAAGCTGACCCCGAATGTCTTCTCTGAGGTGCAAGGAGTCTCGAACTTCATAAGACGAGAGAATGAACCTGAGATTATGAAACTGTTATTTATAGTTCTTACAGGATCAGTGCTATTTTAGTATTATTTACATACTATTATAGTATTTTATTAACATTTTAAATGAGCTTTTATATTGTCAGTTTTCATTTTAATTTTAGCTTTAGTAATTTTATTATGTCATTTCATATCTTTTATAGCAGATTTATATCTTTTTATTTAGCTTTAATGTCATTTGTTTTCCAGTTTTAGTTTTAGTAATTTTAGTACTTCTGTATGAGATGTAAACTAATATTTATGAACATTTGCAGCAAATTATTCAAAATTCTCTTTTTCAAATGATCATGTCTTGTGCACTGCACTGCTTGACATGAAGCGAATTTGAAATCCTTTCTCTCTCAATGAGAAATGTTTAAAAAACACTGCTTAAAAATACACTGCTTAACAGCAGGCCTTTGATAAAGTGCCAGCGACCCCTCACATGACACAGCAGTTGAAATAGGGACAGATACTATTCATATGCCTGATTGTTCCTTCATTTACGCTGCCTCAAGCCAGAATTGCACTCACATGAATAGCTATGCATTAAGGCACACTTGTTTGTGATAAATGGAGATCAATGACATACTTCAAGTTCAGACACAGCATTTCATTAGAGAATCTAGGTCGTATTTTTAGAATTTAAGCATGATAATGCAGAACATTGCAATTAGGACACGTATCTATTTTCAGAGAGAGACTGAAAGAGTGATTATCTAAAAGTTTATTTTTAGGCTTTAAGACATCACACCTGGTTTGTGGTATTTTGGGGCCTTCCTTTGTTGGAGATACATTTCACCAAAGCACCAGAGTCAGTCAAAATAGCATCATTTTATTTTCCAGCTATTTCACTTGTAGTCCAGAAAGAACATGATGTGTAAATGCAACATCTTAATACAGTCCACAATGTAGTTGCCAGATTTATTATTATTATTATTATTATAAGTTTCCATGGTAACTTCTCAATCATTCTCAATATCATTCAGATCATTTATCAACCTTCAAACACAAAAAAAATCAGGTTTAAGCCGTTATCCGTGGCAAATTTTTAGCTATTATTTTACTATGAAGGTGAAGGGGGGGGGTTGTTTTGTATTCTCATTACTGACAGCCAAAAAATTATTTGTTATTTATCTCATTATTTGTTGTGTATTCTCATTACTGAAAGGCAAAAAATAAAAAAAATAAAAAAACAATTGTAATTATTAAAATTTTTTATTTTACTCAATCATCATAAATTCACAAATACTACCATGGTGTTTAATTGTATTTTACAATTTAAATAATATATAATATATTTTACATAACAATAATAAGATTTTTCTCATATTAGTCTATCAAATAAATAAATAAACTGCAGTCTTGATTTCCTTGTGCAAAATATTATTGTTTATATTGTTCTTTTGATTTTAGGGTGAAATATGACCCAACATTTCTTTACAGTTTTCATAACATTCACCATTCCATGCTGTTGTATATCCTTTTTCTCATGTTTAGACTGAAAGAACCTGCAAGAAAGCAGATGTATACCTTTTTTATGTCTGATTCCAGAGCCCTCGCCCTCCTCCTCTCTCTTCCTGCAGCTGAGCTCAAACATGTTGACTGACACACTGGAGCGGATCGCTTTCTGCGCCAGCTCCATTTGATCATAGAAGACCTTGAAGAACTTCTCAGACTTCTTCTGCTTGTGCAGCTGATTGTAGAAAGAGTTCTGCAGGGAGACATGGCCGGAAATGACATCGCCTGAATCTTGTAGATGACCTGTTGTGAATGTGTGTCCAATTTATACCTGAATCTGTGTATTTCCTCCTCTCAGGAGTGCAATGCCCAGTAAAATGCTCTCCTCAAAGATACGGTCGTTCTTAGTGCTGACGATGAGGTCGATGACGAGCTCGGACGCCCCCACGTTGTCCAGCGCACATTGGATGTCTGTTATACTAGTGCCTGGCTTATCAGAATCCTGTCCTGGAGAACCACCTATACACATATGTACACACACAGAACACTGGTGAGTCAGGCATGAGAGGAGCAGAAGTTGGGTGAGAGGATGTTAATGGTGAGCCAACAGTGCTTCTGCTGACGGTCACTTGTGAACCGTACCTCCAGAGGAAGAACTGTTCCCGCTGCTGTACTCCAGGGCTTTGGCGTGGGGCCGCTGGTTGCCAAAGTAGTGTGTAAGGAGACTTTTCCTCAGTGAGTTACCCTGAGGAAACCAGAGAGGAAGGCAGTTGGGTCATCCTTAAAATATGGAGTGTATTAGGTGTTTTAATTATTCAGTCATGAAAATGTTTTCAAATATTCAAGACACCTCATACAGAAAGGCATCATTCTATAACTTAACATATAATTGAAAAATGGTTTGAAACTATATGTTTTGCACATTTAAAAAAACAATTTTGCAGCTGCCTATTTATGGTGTCTGATAAAAAAAATATACACAGTACAGTTAAAAAAGTTTGGCATCAGTAAGATTTTTAATAAGTAATTTATTCTTTTATTAAGCTAGGATGCATGCAGTTGATCAAAAGTGACAGTAAAGATATTTATGATGAAAAAAAACATACATTTGTATTTTAAATAAATGCTGTTGTTTTGAACTTTCTATTCAAAGAATACAGAAAAAACACAGGACGGTTTCCACTAAAATACTGTTTTCAAGGACATTTCATTTAAGACTGAATAAACTGAAAATTCAGCTTTGCCATCACAGGAATAAATTACGTTTTATAATATATTTTATATAATTTTAGATTCATATTTTCTTATTTTAATTTAATTTTAATTGTAATAATATTTAACAATATTACTGTTTTACTGTGTTTTTGATCAAATAACTGTAGTCTTGGTGAGCATGAGAGACATCTTTCAATAACATTTAAAAAATCTAAAGAATGATTTGATATGCTATTGAGATCATCTTAGAAAATTAATCATTACAAGCATTACAATCCTAATTTCACTTGTTAAAAAAACCTGAGGAAATCCGAGGAAGCAGAAAAAGACCACAGAAAATAATAATCTTAAATTAAAAAAATAAAATATAGCTCAACCTGTACTGAACCCATGACACTCCTTAAATTATTTATATTTTTTTAATTAAAAAAAGCCATTTTTTTGACAGACTAATGCAAAGATTCATAGCGGACTGTGTGAAGTGGAGAGTACTTCATTCCCTGTCCGTTTTGATTATCTTTACACTTTTGAGTGTTTTCCTCCCAACTGTGTTGGATAAAAACACACAATCACAATCACATGGGAGAACTTTTACATAACTAGTATAAACTGTAGTAATTGCTGTAATTATGCCAGAAGTGTAGCGAAACCTCGGGGAGGCAGAGGGTGAGACGGCGAGTGCTGAAGGTAGAGAGCAGACGGTTGCCTTGAAAATCTGTTTCCCAGTGGGAGAGAAACTGAACGTGTGAAAAAGACAGAGGGTGGGGGGAGAGTGGCTGGCATAGAGACTGAGAGAGAGAGAGAGAGAGAGAGAGAGAGAGAGAGAGAGAGAGAGTTATATAACACCTGGCGGCAGCTTGCTGAGAGATCACGAGGAAGACACGGTAGAGGGAGCGGATGGTACTGATCGTCTCTCCCTTCCTTTGTCTCCTGACCGAATGTTCTTTCATGTCTGTCTCATTTTCTTGCTCTTATACATCTGGTTAGGGACAGTTGCAGCTATTTTTGCATATTTTTGAGATTGAGAGAGAAAGATTGCATTCACACAGTCAGTGTTTAGGATTGACAACCATATTTACCAACAGGTGTGACTCTCGATTTGGCCTGTTAATTCGACAGCTTGCAAGAATGGGTCAAACAGCATTTGTATGAAAGAATACCGAAGTCAAGCACCTCTTGCGATGACCATTAATAATGACTGCAACTGTAGTGACAGTCACTCAAAGAAATATAAAAGATGGCCACTCTCAATATATCAGAAAATCTTTTCAACTGAGTCTAGTCTAAAATCAAATCAAATCAAATAATAAAATAAAATAAAAATATAAAAAATTAATAAGAATAATCAAAATAAAATACAATAAATAAAAAAATAATACATTAATAAGAATAATCAAAATAAAATTACATAAATGTAGCATCTGGACCAATCAGACACACCATTTTTCATTAGATTTAACAAATCAATTATTCATTAGATTAACAAATAATCACAGACCCCTCACCCAATAACCTACTGGGTGCCAGGATCGGCACCACAACCACTCCTGGAGGCACCAACAGCCAGAGAGCCACCACTGTCTCCCAGCCGTGAGTGGCAGGTGTGTGTTCGATTGTTCTGCACCTCTGACATCGCCCATTGTTGTCTATTCTTCGGACAACAACGTCCGAAAGGGGGGATTTGTAGCATCTGGACCAATCAGACACACCATTTTTCATTAGATTTAACAAATCAATTATTCATTAGATTAACAAATAGTCACAGACCCCTCTCACCCAATAACCTACTGGGTGCCAGGATGTCTGCGAACGACCACAGGCCACTGGTTACCATGGCACAGTAAGAAAGTTATTTCCCTTAACCAGGAAATTAACGTTCTTAGAATTGACAGACAGTTGACCCTGAGAGGTCAAGTAAATATCTACAGCGGATCTAAATATTTATAATTAATTATAACTAGTTATGATTAATTATTCATATTTCCCCATGAGCTGATTCACTACATAAATAACAAATAAAAATGAAAAAATGAAATATTTATTTTATTATTAAAAATATAACTAAAAAATAAAATAAAAACAAAATAAAAAAGTAACGACAATATAAATTAAAATAACAAAAACAATAATATAATAAAATAAAATAAAAAATTAACGACAATAAAAAAAAAAAAATAAAATAAAACTTTGAGGTCATCAATGATAGACAAGTTTACTTTTTTATTTTTAAAGATTTATTTTTGGCATTTTTTCCTTTATTATGATAGGATAGTAGCTAGACAGGAAGTGAAAGTGGGAGAAAGAGAGGGGGGCGGGATCAGGAAAGGTCCACGAGCCAGGACTCGAACTCGGGACGCCCGAAGCGCAATGGTGCTGTATATCGGTGTGCTGCCCACGAGGCTATCGGTGCCGACAATGTTAGTTTACTTCTAAATATTTTTACAGTATTTTTCTTCCGAGAAAACAGGTTAAAATATTCATAAATCAAACTGCACAATACAGTCTACAAATTTTGTTTATTCAAACACCAGAATGACAATGTCCCTCCTGCTAACACCACCTGCAACCTACTAGCAAATAGCAAATAGTTGTTTATGAATACCCTGCTGTGGATGGCCAGGAAAGGAGTAAGGTGGTGAACAGACCCTGACATTTTACTGACTTCACCCTTCCACACTGTGTCACCCAGGAGGATAATGAAACCCAGTGTGGCCGTGTGGCCATGCATGCGCCGACACGAGAGTGACAAACTGCCACAGAGAGAAGACATTTTTCTCTCTCACTTTGACAAGCACGTGTTGTTGCTGTTCCCACTCTCTCAGTAAACACTCATCAGCAGTCAGCACAGACTGTGTCTGCTTCCACAGTCTGGATAAGCCGTCACACAAACACACACACACACACACACACACACAAAGCAGATGAACATTCACTATTAAAGAAATAGTTAATCCAAAAATCCCGTCATCATTTACGTGCCCTCATGCTGGTTTCAAACCTGTTTGACTTTCTTTCTTCTGCAGAACACGAAAGATGATATTTTGAAGAATGCTGGTAACCAATTATTCGTTTTGGTGATCATCAACTTCCACTGTATATGGAAGAAAATAAACACTGAGACATATCTCAAAATATCTTCTTTTGTGTTTCACAGAAGAAAGTAAGTCACTCAGGTTTTCAATGACACGAGGGTGAGTAAATGATTTTTCATTTTTGGGTGAACTATCCCTTTAAGCTTCAGAAACAGCCATAATTAACAATATTTGTCCATATTCAGGGCCTCTTCATATCATTTCCTGCTCCTGTTCACTGTAATTGGACATGCTTTCCTAGAAGCTGCTCTCTTTTCTACAAAACCAGCTGTAATGGGGGAGTTTAGTGTCTCCTGATGCTGCAGTCTTTCTTGCACTTCTGCGGAGGACTTGATGGGAAGACAGAGGAGGAAAGTGAGAGATGAAGGTAGCAGTGCCAGTCTGACTCATCCGTCTGCTGCTGCATGGCAGAGAAAAAAAAAAACCCTGCGCAGGTGAAGTGAGGACAAAAGAGAGAGAGACAGCGAGAGCAACAAAAAAAAAGACAGATAGGAGATAGAAAGAGAGAGAAGGGGGGTAAGGGAAAGATAGAGGGATAGATAGAGAAGAGGGGTGGCAGAAACAGACAGGCTAACTTTTTTTTAAAATGTGCACGGGCACGCCACACTGCGGCTGGCCTGGCTAAGCCTGGGATGCTCCAGCAAGCTTAAAAAAAAGCCCTCCGCTGCTGTCTGCAGGTACCTGAGAACTCAGGATGGAGGGATCTAGAAAATGAGAGCGAGAGAGAGACGGCAAAAGGGAGGGGTGCTCTGCGCTGCTGGACTCATCAAGTCAGGTTCTGTCTTAGGCCTCACGGCACACCCCTGGGTCATATCACCTCCCGGTACAACACATCAACACATGGGGCTCCCGCTCTAAGGTTACAGCTGCCAGACTTTCTTCTCCAAGTTTTGGATGTGTTAAAAAATTTAATAAAGGAGGAAAAAAACTGAGAAAACTAAATAAATGTAGAAAAAAATAAAATGTATTAATTATTAATAAAAAATATATATATTTTAAATAAATGCTGTTCTTTTGAAATTTTTTATTCATCAAAAACATGAAAAATATATAATGATCTACATAAAAATATTAAGCAGCACAACTGTTTTCAACATTGATAATAATAAGAAATGTTTCTTAAGAGCCAATTCAGCATATCAGAATGATTTCTGAAGGATCATGTGACACTGAAGACTGCAGTAATGACTGCTGAAAATTCAGCTTTGCCATCACAGGAATAAATTACATTTTAAAATATATTAAAATAGAAATAGTTATTTTAAATTGTAATAATATTTCACAATATTACTGTATTTTTGATCAAATAAATGCAGCCTCGGTGAGCATAAGAGATTTACTTAAAAAGCACTAAAAATCTTACAAGCCCAAACTTTTGAAAGCCAGAGTACTGTCAGTCTCGAAATATTTACATAACTACTCTATATTATATACTACT